ATGACATTGTGCCCGTTGCCAATCCTATAGGTTGAGTACGAGCCTGCTTTCAAGGTTAGGCATGATAATAGTATCAAGTCAATATCGCAAACGAAATGTCGTTATCACTGCAAGCTTCTGAAGCATCACAGTGGTGGAGGTAGCGGTTAGTGCTGCCCTAGGACAAGAGTGTTAGCGCGAGCTGAGGCAACATCCGACCCCACGTCGATTGCGCCCCGCCCCACACCTTTCAGCGACCCTGTCGACGTCATCAGGATCTAGGAGTGACGCGCTGGCCCGTCGTAGCCGTGCTGTTTTCTTGAGGACGGTGGTTTGACCGACTTACACTTGCCTCCATCCCTGCCTCCAGCGTTATCCGCAGCCTCTCCAAGTGTCGTCCAAGTCTACCAAAACTAGCCAAGTCCATCGAATGTGTGCATGTTGCTAGGTTGTTGGCGACTGAGAGGGAAGCACCAAACTGAGGATGGCTCGCTCAAACATTTTTCGAACGTTGTCTTCTCTCTTTTCCTCGTCAGTCAACAACCACGAGGGCTGTAGCCGCACTGGTGATGAGGTGGTTGTTGGCGGCTGAGAGGGAAACGACTGACGCTTAGTCCGCACAAACATTTTTCGCACGTTGTCTTCTCTCTTTTCCTCGTCAGTATACGACCACGGTGACCGCGACGGCACCGGTGATGAGGCGGTTCATCGAACGTGTACACGTTGCTAGGTTGTTGGCGACTGAGGGAAAAATGCCAAACTGACGATGGTTCGCACAAACATCTTTCGAACGTTGTCTTCTCTCTTGTCCTCGTTAGGAATGTGACGGCACCGGTGATGGGTCGTACGTTGTCTTCTCTCTTGTCCTCGTCAAGAATATGACGGCACTGGTGACGGGTCGTACGTTGTCTTCTCTCTTGTCCTCGTCAGGATCGTGACGGCACCGGTGATGAGTCGTACGTTGTCTTCTCTCTTATCCTCATAAGGAGTGTGACGGCACCGGTGATGAGGTTGGCAGAGTCATGTGATTGCGAGGTTGTGGCCTTCTGCCATCAGCCGTTGAACATATCCTCGACCACAGGAGGAGGAAGACCCGAGATAAGCAGAAGTTTCAGCGACAGGCTTCAAGCCAGAGACTAGCGATGGGAACACGTTATCGCGCCGAGCGGTGATCTTCTCAGTCAATACGGCAGCTTCCTTGCTAGCAAGAGCGCCATATGGTTTGCGAGGCCATAAATTGAATCAGCGTTATCCTCGACGTCAAATCCTTCCTGCTACAGACCAGTTGGGCTCCCATGCTTCTGCACGGTGACCACCAGACGTGGCATTGAGTGCCAATCCTTGAGTATGGAAGACGCAAAGCACGGAGGGAAAATCGAGACAAATGTCAGAGCAAGTCGGGCAATCGAACAGCTCACCAGCATGTCGCCTATCGCGGCGATAACTGCGGTCGATCGATAGGGGAAGTTCAGTTGGTTGGCCTTTCCTGTTCTTGAATGCGTCGGCACGCTGGCATGCGGAGGTATTGAAAGAATCACGTAGGCGTCATAATTTGAAGTGTACGTGAGATCCATGCAGACAGCGTATATTTAATCGTCCTGGGTGGTTTATACTCGGCGCAATAGAAATAGTGGATTGATGCCCGACTGCCATCATCCCGCAGCCGTTTACGACAATTGCTATTACAGCCGGATACTAACGCAAGGTTTGCCACTTGTATGTCCAAATTGTGTATAGGCCTCAACACAAGTGAAGACTTGCTCGGCACACAGACCCTTCCGCTCGAGTCCATCTACTCCGTCCACTGAGACATCGTACGAGAGCCAATACGTCTTCTCGCATTGTGCATTATGAGCGGTTTGAGAAATTGAGAGGGATACCTCTTGTGGGCCACGTTGGTTATCGAACAATCGGCCGTGGACCTCAACCGGTGATTGAGATATCGGACAGCAGAAGCGCTGCGCATTTCTCGCTCTCCCCACAATCAATCATCGCCAACGCAACCCCAGTCACATCAGATCCTAAGACACCAATTTGCAGCTATCACCATTATAAACCTCCCCACTCAACAATGACATGACGCCGCACGAACTCAGACTTGCCATAGATGCAAACGCTCACAGCTGCACAACAAAGATAATCTTATTTTTTAGTCAAACATATTGGACAAGAAGAGATGGTATCTATCCGGGCACCGATTAATGGCAATCAATCTTGAGAAAACGGAAAATTTGTTGGCCGCAAGCACCGTCTCCGTCCTTACCGACGGCTGCTGGACACTTCGATATGCCTTGTCCAGACTAGTATGGATAGTCGTCACTGTGTCGCGCGACAAAGTCGAGAAAGTAGGGCAATGGTCATAACATACTCATCAGTTGAGTTGCTGCGAGATTCTGTTGCAAAGCTCGTAACAGCATTGGAAACGTGGCGCAGCTCTATACCTGCACATCTCTATGATGCGAAGTCAGCAAACATGCGCGTGTGCCCATGTGCAACAACCTCATAAACAGGTCATCTTTCCCAAGATCCGTATAACAAGATATCTTTGGCCGAGCGCCATCATTATATCGCTGAGTATCATTATCTTCACGTCCGAGCAAACGAAGACCACGCCACTTCGCTTCGCGCAATATGTGATGGGCTCATGACACGAAGGAACTGCGGCGAAGTCATGATACGGATGTACTGAGTAGCAATTCCGAGAGTACCAGGAATCTCGCAGCATCATACCTGCTGTAGCTATGCAATCGACGGTACGTGACATCCACTTTTAGTCTCATCCGCATCGCAGGTTTCCTCGAACAACACGGCAGTACTATTCTCTCCCCCCCCCCCCCCCCCCCTATCATGTTAAATCACTAGAGCTGCGCATTCATTCTATACTATCTTATCGAGGTGACGGAACATTGCACAGTGTTCGGAGATATCACGACAGGCACCTCGACTTCCGCTTAGTTGCGGAGGTCTGTCCCCTCCCGATATCAGCTCACAAGTTTGAAGATAACTCGCGAAGTGCTTATGTAGAACAATGGTCATCGGATCGAATTTCGCATCCTACCTGGCAACGTTCCTGGAAGAGATATTGTGCGAGTTGACGAAAACAGTGAAGCATTTGAACTGTGATTTGGTTATAGTAAATAACTGGTGGTCGGCGGTACGATCCTCGAGCAGTCTGGTGACAGGATGAAAAGTCATCCACGTCCATGGATATCAATTATGACTTGTTCGCCGATGGAGGCATTCCACTTACTAGCCAACTTATCTGCGAGATCTGCGTCTTCAGTGCCTCATGTGGTATGCCTAGGCCCTGCAATAACGCTATGGATTTGCTTTTCTTGCATTTGATACGTCTAGGAGCACACATAAGAAGATACAGCACTGCGAAAGTTCTTGATTAACTTTGCAGTAGAGAACTATTCTTAGCCTACGACAAGACTCAAGAACGAGTATCCCACAAACTTCCTACTCAATGTCATCGCTGCTTCCCGAGGGCTAGCAGGAGTTCTGGGCAGTATCTGTCCAGGCAAGGCGCAGTAGACGAGCCGAAGAAGGCAGAGTTCTGTGCCAGATATCAAAATCACTCCTCTCTCTCAGAAAATGAGCTTGTTTCCACGGTCTCTACCGCATAACTCTTTGAGCAATCTGGTAATGGAAAGTCGTCCACGTCCATGTGGAAGTCAAACTGTGTCCAGGCCAGAGGGAGATCCGTCTCGTAGCCACCACCCATCCGCTCGAAAGTTGAGATCGCTGATGCATTTCCACACGGTTTAATAAGCGAGAGGGTAGTAACGAGTCCGTTCTACGCTGTTTACATATCACTAAGATTATTCGTCTATGGCCTTTCAAGGTTTAGTCGCATGGTGAGTGCGCCGCTACACTCTCCTCGGATCGAAGACAATCAATATTTGATCCGTCGCGTGTAGGTTGGTTTTGACTATATAAGCTCATTACGAAACCATGGCGACATGCTTGGACTACTCGAACTTGTGATAAAGGGAATTCCTTTGCCCTCTTCGCTCGAAATCAGTTGTCAGAGTAGTAAACTGAGGCCTGTCGATGGGCTGCGCCCTTAGCGCGTACAGCTAGCGAGTAGCGGGGGCTGATTGTATAACTTCGACGTCTGACCCGATCCACAGGTTAGTGTGCAATGGTCGTGACGCGTTTTTCCGGGGCTGAAGTTAAGAGCTATCAGGAATTGATGCAGGCTTTTTACTATACGAAGGGTTTGACGTGCAGCTGTTAAGTCCTTCAAACTATCGCTGAGGTATACCTGAGTGACAGTAGGAGCATTCTCTCCTCTGATAAGATCATGTGAGCTGAAGAGTTGAAGCAATAATTCGAGGCTTGGCTATGAGTAATGCCGGTGGCCGAAAAGTAGCGACTGACGAGAACGAAACAGCACTTGCCGTTGATAAGATCCAGAAAGCGTAGAACGAAAGATTAGATGTCTTACCGTATAGCAAGTCTAGGTTAGCGAAACTTAAGAACAAAATGCTAATTACCCATTTTCACAGTGTGTCACGAATGATATACTAGCAATGATGTTTCCGAGCGACGCGCAAAGCCCCTCACTTTAGCGGCTAAAAATACATAGCACTAGAGATCGTCGATGGTCACGACGAAGACTACACATCATCTCTTCAAGCATTGCAGTTATTCTGTCATCACGAAGGTCAGGTATTAATGTTCTTGCGCATCCGCCTCGGGATCTAAATGCCATAATATGTGAAGTCGCGCCTTGTACGTGCAGTCGCATGCAAGAAGAAGAGAATATTTCTTTTCAGAATTATTTTGAGAAGCATCTCGTGGGTGAGTTATTTCTACCAAGGAATCTTAAGGTACTAGATGAGGGTATGAACGAATCGCGTTGTTTATGATGGGTTGGCAACATCCTGCTTATTCGTTCTGGCAAGGCGGATGGCTTTGGCGCCCCACCCCCTCCTTCTCACAACATAAATTTAAGGTGAGACATCCTGCCTCTCAGACAATGAACGAACACAAATCAGATACAGTCTTCGAATCCCACCGCCGAGCGGTTATGGCGTGTGACTCAAGAATTTTCATTCTTACCTGTGTTAACAGGCGCATTCTCATGGGGCAACCCGCGTGGGTTCGAATCCCACCGCTGACAGTATCTTTTTGCACTTTACAACTTCTTTTTTCGATGGTTGGATGTTGAGCTATGCGTCGTTGAAGTTTCGGGAGGCTCAGATGTAGGACCGCGCTAGTGCCGCGCTAAGGCCATTTACGGACATCGCTCCGCCAGCTCCGAGTCAACCTAACATCAGTCCTCTTTTTGCTTCATACTTCATGGAGACGCAGCGGCCTATCAAGAGAGTAGATTCAGTCTACACGGACTCCATCGATGGCGTGTCGATTCGCCTCCTGCGCTTTTCACAGCCGGAGGAGGGCGTCTTTGTCGGCAAGTTGAAGACCTTCCGCCTAGCGAGTGCGCCACATTTTTACACGGCGAGTTACGTCTGGGGACAGCAGAAAGAATCTAGAAACACCATCCATCTGAACACTGGGTCGCTTCCTGTTTTGCCAAGCTTGGTACCATTCCTTCACATGGTCACACAACATGACGACTTCGATGCCAAGGACTGGTGGTGGATCGACAGCCTGTGCATCAATCTCACTGATGGTCGCGAGCGCGAAGAGCAGGTGCGTGTCATGGCCGAGATTTACAAACGAGCAAAACGTGCGATAGTTTGGCTAGGTGAGGAGCAAGAGCCGGGCAACGACTGTACAGGTGCCATTTCCTTCCTTCACTCACTCGGGAGCCTGCAAGTTGCATTCACTGGCGACGATCACGCCATGCGACGAAGCCTTGAGGACCCCGAATTTGTTTCTCGGTGCGCAGCAGTTAGCAATCTGCTTTTCAGGCCTTGGTGGACGAGAGTTTGGACACTGCAAGAGTTCGTTCTGCCGAAGGAAGCAAAACTGTACTGTGGTATGCAAAGCATAAGTCGTGGCAAGTTCAAGAGTGCCATATACAGCATCTTCTTGTGTAGTACGATCAGCAACGACTTCGAGCACGAGCTTGTCCCGCGCGCGGCCTTCGATGGAGCGTTCAATCGCAGGAGAATTCACCAGCTGCACACGAAAGCTGGTTCACAAGGTATTAGCCTGGTGGCAATCATGGCCTACCTTGGAAACCACATGGCGACGGACAGCAGAGATCGTATCTTCTCTGTGCTGGGCTTGATCACGCCCAGAGATCGCAAACTTGTTGGCGCGCCAGAGTATACAACAAGCACAGGGATGCAGTTCGCCAGACTCGTACGCTCATTCTGGAATGAGTTTGGAAGTCTTGATATCATCTGCTACGTGCATCTCTTTAGTCGGTACTCCGGTCCACGTGATCCTGGACCGGAAGACGCAGTGCCTTGGTGGGCTCCGGACTGGCGCGCAACAATCGACTTTGCGTCACCGGTTCCATTGATGGCTTCACAAAGTGCGAACGAACACATTGGCAACTTTCGACCATTGCGCTCGCAGAATTGGAAGGCAAAGTACGATGCGCCGGGATCGTACCTTAGGAAAAAAGCCAACGTGCTTTTCCAGGATAGTCTCAAAGAGCTTTGGTGCGACGGTGTGATCCTCGACACTATTCATGGCCTGGGTGCGCTCGACGATCGCGAACTCCGGTGCCAAAGCTTTGTCTGCGCAGAAGCAGGCCACTCGATCCTGCAGTCTACATCGCCACAATTGAGGACGCCAAGAGCCACAATGCTGCCGATGGACTGGCTGGAGGCTGTTGCTCGCTCACTCGCCCTCGATCGAAAGGAGAAATATCTTTGCTTTCAGGCTCCGCAACACTATGTGAACGACTTCCTCTATTTAAGCCATGCCTGTGTTGCGGATGAGCCGGTGGATTGGAGCTTCTCAACATGGTTCGATCTAAATAAGCAGTTGAAGTTTGGTGACGAGACATTGGAAGAATTGGTTCGAAACGTGCCAATTGAATATCCAGCCTCGCCGCCTCCTCTGGAACGCCCACCGTCCTATCCAGCGACTCGGAAAAATAACATCGACTCAGACCCACCACATACATACCTCTCGCGGTTTCACGACACTGTTCGAAAGAAAGCAAGACGACTCATGGTCACTGATGAGGGCTATGTTGGCGTCGCGCCTTGCCGTGCGAGAGTGGGCGATGCTGTTGCCATTCTATATGGGTGCAGCATACCTCTCGTGCTTCGACAGCGAGGGGAAAGAGAGGCATGGCAGGTCATTGGTGAAGCTTACGTGCATTGTTTCATGAATGGAGAGGTTGCAGACCTTATTAGGCGAGGGAAGGAAGAGACGCATCGATTTCGACTGGTCTGAGCCCGGCATGCTCGCCCGCACACGCAACATAAGACATGTCACGATGCAGATCCTCCCCGCTTCCGCGAGATTTTGCCGCGCCTGATCATCTGCCGCTGCGCAGAGAACCGCACCGCGAACTGCGTTTGTTTCCAGACGAGCGGCACACTTGCTTGGGAATGGTCTCCAGGGCCACACTGAGAGGTCACTCACAAGAGGGCTCTTAGTCATTTACCGTCGGGCACCCAAACATAAGCTTCACGCTACAACGACGATAACTAGTGCCTCTTGCTCAGCAACCCGGCGAGCACTGAACGATACATGATGTTCCACAAGAAGGCAATTCAACGGTCGCATTACTGTTCGTATGCATCGAGGGTTGAGAGATCGATGTGGTACACATAACTTGCACTGAAAAGTCGTGTGAGCGCGAGTTGATGCTATTAAATCAACTTTAGGAGCTGCATATATATTCTCCCGATTGCAGGTTCTACCTTCCTTCCTATCCGCATACCTACCTTCTTCCTCCATCCAAAGTGACCACCACAAGATGGCTGTGCTCCCACTCTCACCAAAGTATTGAGATTTACCTGTACATCTACCATGACAACACCATGTCCACATGGGCGATCTTGACGAACGGAACCCCAGGTTGGCGTCTACCACCTACTCTACTAAGGTCCCGGATCAGCTCCGCAGGGAAATCCTCGGGCGCAACATGGTTAAACTGATCATAGCGCAGTTTAGTCTGACTAGGGCTACCGCGGTCTTATCAACGCTATACGCATCGATAGAGATGAGAAATTCTCCGGAGGGCAGGTCCGAAATTAGGTTGAGACCTATCAGACGATCTGGGTCGGCAATTAGGCGTTTACCGTGGGCGTTTGCAGTCGCGGTGGAGTCGCAGGACAATTTAGTAGTTTTCACGAAGTGAGTGCAAGAAGTTCGAAAGTCCAATGGCGTTGCATCAAATCTCTACTCTTCGGGTCTCTCACCTGGCAAATTTGAACGGTAGCAAAAAAAAGGTGAGCTGGATGGTGAGGTGCTTCTGCAGCTATTGTTAATACTTATATATATCTGCTTGGTCGCAGCTTTTGATCACTTTCCTAACATTGCAACTATCCTCTACCTACGCTCATCTTTGGCACCCGTATCACGAACAAGACAGCCCGCTGAACCAGCAACATGGCGAAGAACGAGGATTTCCTCTGGCTTGTGAGTCACGACCGTCGCCACTAAGCCATTTTACTTACTTTGCAGTAGGTCATGGTCCGAGGTGATCATCCTGCCGTCACACAGAAGGAGTTGTGGGCGCGAGTCGAAGGAACCGCAGGATGTCGCGTGATTCTGGACATGTCTGTCGAGTGCGCAGGGTTCATGTTAGTAGAACGTCAAACCAGGCTACTAGCTATCTAATCATGACAAGCTACACCATGCGCAACGACGTCGCAGAAAATCCGCTGATTGAACACATTGGCGAAGGCCCTACAGCCGACGTACAAGTAAAGAGGCTTGAGAGGGCACTTCATCTCAAAGGCATCGATATCGAAGAGGTGGATGGGGGTGCCGAATACCCTTTCACGGAGGAGGATGAAGTCGATGACATTCTCGAGGCAGCTTGATTAGCATGTTCACTGCGGGTGAAGGAGTGGAGAGAACAAGCTAGAAAGGACCGCGAAGTCTCTCAGCGGTCAGCTCAAATTGGTAACGACATTAGAGTTTCATCATTCTCGATGAATTAGCTCAAATTACTCGCATATCCTCGGCCAAGGTGCGCTTTCGACTGCTCGCTGGAGTAGCGTTGCAGGCGAGGTGAAGTCGCGGCACCAAGCATCGGTCCCATTCGTGCCCGCCCTAGCTCAGCTTTGGTAGACTGCGATCTCCAAACTACTGCATTACAATTGCCTGGATATCGTCACCATATTTTTTCTTTTCTTTCTTCTTAGGAAATGTTCTGAGGCTGTACAGCCCTTACCAAAAGTTTGAAATAGAAAGTCTCGCCATAGGTCGAATGGGGAAGGATTCTGCGGGAGCCTGGGTATTGATATCTTCGATTAGTGAGTGTAAGAGATGCAAAATAGTGGATCTGTAGCAAAATCTCGCTTTGTCGAGTCTCTTACCTGGCAAAGCTGAGTAGCAGCGTTTGCACAAACGAGGTGAGCGCGACTTCGCGGGGTACCATGGCTTTTAAGTCGAGAGCACCGCGCATATAAGGATCCCCACCCCCAGCCCTCAGCCTCTTCCTGCCCTCCGCACAAATTCTTTCCTCGGGGCTACTCTGACATCTATTCTCGATGGCGAAGCTACCTCCCAAACCAAGATACCACCTTTCGCCTATCACCCTCCCGTGTCCACCCCTTGTGCGCCTCAAGGACCTCAGCGAGGGTGATTCCAGCCTTGCCAGCGTTTCATATCCCTCCAATGCTGCAGACAGTATTGGAGAAGAGGCTTCCAGGCGCAACTTCACGAAGCTCATCATGGCAAGGTACAGCCAGGTGGACTCCGCATTTTATGAACTCATTAACGGCAAGGTTAATATTAAGGATCAGGAGCTGGCCACAAAGAAGACACAAAAATGGGCCAAAGACATACAGAACAGCTGGGTGGGTGCGAACTCTTGGGTGCAAAAGTACGTCATCAGCGCGATCACCTGGGCAGATCTCCAAGTCCTTTTGGACAATCTTAATCGCCAAATTACCCTACTTGGCTTTCCGTCAGCTGGAGAGTCGGTCGCTGAGAAGGTTGCTCGTCAAGCACGCCGCCAAGAGTACAAGAAGGCGCTTCGACTCCATCAAGACCATATTCGCCAAGGTGCTGACG